AACATGAATACATACATTAGCTGAGCACTTGGCAACAGGTCTGGACATGTTCAAGAGAACTTCAAGTTAGTTTAAGGTATTCAATCAGCATTTGGAAGGATGGAACTCATCTCTACCCTTTCAGATACCACCACAGATATACACTGCTAATGAGTTAAGCACATCAGGTGACTGGTAGCAGTTATTATTTAAAGACACAGTAGAATCAATGGCATTAGCACTAGAATGAAGTCCAACATATGTAAAAGTTTAGGTTATCAATTCACATGAAAAATCTTTAATCAGAGCAATTTCAGGAGCATAAAAAACAAACCAGGGTACATAAATTGTAGGCAATGAGCATCGTCATGGAAAGTTGGCTAAATTAATGGAAATGCCAATGCAAATGAAAATTAGTTGGTTGACCAAGATAAGATTGAACCAGCAGATGCAGAACTATTTAAAACTGAGATAAGTTCATTTAAATAGTTTGGTATGGTAAAAAACTCGTTTGAGAGAAGTTAGTTTTCAGTAAAAGGACCAAAAGCCTATTGCTACAAAAAGGTCAGCAAAAGAGATGCATTTGATGTGATGTTATAAATTCAATAAGCTCATTATGTTCCATAGAAGATCTTACAGTCATACACCGGGGGTTTTACACCAAAAAAGATCATCTTACACTTATAACCATTCAGTCATCTAGTGGCATAGACGGTTATATAGTGCTACAAACAACTTAGTAAACCAAGTGTGATTTAACAAGATGGATATGAATCATAGGAAACATAGAATGCCATAATATAACAGCCACTTCATCCAAGATTTTACCAAAACCCTCTAATAGATCAAAACTGCACAAGAGATAACAATAGTTGAGTCATCAGAAACCTTTTAAAATGGACCATTTTCTACATTTTGCACAATCAAATAAACCAAAATACGCCTAATATATCTTGTTCAAGATTTTTCCATATCTTCCTTTTCAGTTTGTGACTGAGAAATTGGGCGACCGAAGCCTACAACGAAATAAACCAAATGCCAATTCCTAGGAGTAAAAGATACAGAAATAAGTAAAAACACATTTTTATCTCATATACGAGATAATTAATTTCCTAATGGAACAAGTTCATAAAATACAATGTTTTATCGTAAATCCTTACTAAATCATCAAGGCTAGACAAACAATAATAAATATAACAGCAATTTATATTCATTACAATTAATACCAAGAATTCTCTCTCATATCAAGAAAAGTTAAAGACGAATTACCCTCACAATAGCAGTGACATCCTGAAGGGGAGTTCTGGGGTACCAATTGGGCAAAACACTACCACCACGACCCCTGCCTCGACCTCTAACCCGGCCTCGGCTACCTCTGACCGTAGGAGACATGTTCTGCCTGCCAATAACTCTTACTGAAGACATCTGCAAATGCCTGCCACGCCAAATTCTTGGTGTTCCCAGACTGCCCCTCTCAAATCCACCTCCAACAGAACCATCGGCCACTCCCATTCCTCCTCCACGAGTTCCCGTCATAGCCATTGCCCCCCATCGGAACGGAGTGGTGGGACTCACATCCATTGCCTCATCAGCTAAAACACTGATTCCTCCGCCACTTAAATTGCCATTTCCGCTTCCACCTGAGATTATTGACTGTCGTCGACGAGTGTAAATGGCCGCCAAGTCCTCTGCCCTAGATATTCTGTCTCTGGCCTCCGGCATTGTACCAAAACCTTTCAATCAAGAAAACAAATTAAGTAAATAAAAACAGGGGAACCCAAGCTGAAACAATAAAATGGATGTTCTTTGATTTTCCAGAAACGAACTCCCGAAAACCTGTAGTTTCCGGCGACTCATTGATCAAATCTTGACCAAAAATGAATATTCTCAACGACCCAGATGAGAAATTAGGCAGAAAGGAACAAATTCTTGGAGAACCCAGATGAAAAAACTTCATTTTCGGATAACCCAAGTAAAAAACAGTCATTTTCCGGCTACACAAACATCACATTTCAGGTATAAAGACGATTAAATGGAAAAATAACCACATTTTACATACATAAAATGAATTGCTTATTAAAAATAAAGTCGAAAAATGGAGCTACCTTCAGGAATCTTGTGGATTTTAGGGAAGCTCTGATGAAGATTCACAATGGTTATGATGAAGATGATGAATGTGAGTGGCTTTGCTCTGTGGGGCTGTTTTCTTTTTCTTGGGTTAATGAAGAGAGAAAGCTTTGAGATAGGGCAAATTGGCAAATTTTTCAAATGAAAATTTGGGCGGTACTTTATACTGGTAACTGCTTTAGTTTCTGGAAAATTTTTGAGAAAATTATGGCGAAATTGAAAATGAAAATTTGAGGGTGAACACGTGGGCTCGGGAAAAGTGAAATTTTCAAATTTCAAATTTTTGGTCATGGGAGGGAGGGTTGACCTCATTCCTTTTACGGTTTTGCTTGCTGGAATTAACTGCCAAAAGGATTCGACCTAGGCCCTGTTTCAGCTCGGTAGTTAGTAGCGTAATTAAACCTTTTCCAGAATTTAAGCCCATAACAGCCTGAAAAGCTGTTGTGCTACTTGTTATTGGGCTTTCACGTTTTCTTTGCCTATTCGGTTCGGACGAATGGCAATTGGATATGAGTGTTTGGATAGCAAAAATATCTCATTTTTTAACTCATCTTTTTACGTTCTCAATCACTTTTTTATCTTACATACATCACATCATAAAAAGTGCTACAGTAATTATTTCAAATAATACTCTATCCAATGATCCATTCAAAGACAAATCCGAATCAGGTTGATGATGATTGATGAGAGCTAAAACGGTTTGTTCTAATGACATTGTATAGAGTTTTTGTTAATTTTGGTTACACAGTTTTTTCTTGGAAGTGTCTTATGGGGTTTCTTAGTGCCGGTTAACAATTCTAACCAACTCTGATTACGGTGAGTTGGTCACCAGATGAAACATAAGGTACATGTCTGGTTGCAAGTTAGGAGTTTAAACTTCTGTACTTGCACCAATATTCAAAAGGTGTACAGTAATGCATTCCTTTGATTTAGAATTGGACCCTCCTTTGATATAGGTTAGGATAGGAGTAGGGCTGCAAACGAGTCAAGTCGAATCGAGTTTTATCCTAATCGAACTGAGTCTTGATTTAGTTTTATTGAACTCGAACTCGAGCTCAACCTCGATGAGCTGGCAATTTAAAGAGTTCGAGTTCGAAAAAAAAAATAATTATTTTATTTTTTAAAAAATAAAAAAAATATTTTTTTAATAAATAATAAAATATAAAGGACATATATGTAATTTTACTATTAAAATAAAAATAATATATATATATATATATATATATACTTGAGCTTAATATTTTGAGCTCGAACTCAAGTCGAGCTTGACTCGAGCGATTCAGTTCGTTTGCAACCCTAGGTAGGAGATGCCAATCGACCAAAAAAAAAAAGGGAAAAGAAGTTAACTGATGAAAATTTTTTACCTCCGCCAAACCAATAATATTTTAGCCCTCGCAAGTGCTAACATTTACATACTATTGAAAGACAAAGAAATCAAAGCAAATTGTCACATATTATTAACAGAAACACTATATTTCTTCACATTACTGTGCATCTTGAGCAATTGTATCATTTTAAGTCTCTTCCAAATTACTATTAGTACTCTAAATAATTAAACACTATGTTAAAATACTTTTGTAAAATTGGGTGAAAACGTTTCATCATCCTTGTTACTCAAACATAAATCCCCTTCCTGAACGCCTTCTATTTACTAATATAAAGGAGTAGCCTTTTTCATCTTTAAAGAAACACTAGTATTATTAATTGGTTTGTTTGGACAGAGCATTATTTGAAATATTATTTGAAAAAAGGTTTGTTTGAATAGAGTATTATTTGGAATAATTACTGTGACACTTTTTGTGATGTGATGTATGCGAGATAAAAAGATAATTGAGAATATAAAAAGGTGGGTTGAAAAATGTGTTTATAATACAAGCGAAATATTATTTAAAATATTTGTGCTATCCAAACATAGTACTGGGTTTGTTTGGATAGGGTATTATTTGAAATATTATTTGAAATAATTACTGTAGCACTTTTTATGATGTGATGTATGTGAGATAAAAAGTTGATTGGGAATATAAAAAGGTGGGTTGGGAAATGTATTTATGATGCAAGCGAAATATTATTTGGAATAATGTGTGTATCCAAACACTCCCACTATAAAACCTCAAAAGAGACCTTGCAATAATTTTTTTACTATACAAAAAAAAAAATTTTAGATGAATTCGGCTCTGCACACGTATCTTGCAGTAATCCATTTAAACCTATATATAGCTGATCTGCTTATGGATGACATTGGTTGTATTTACTCTTTTACTTGTGGCAATTACTGTCCACCAATAATGCAACAAGTGTTTCCACCCTTTCGTCCCAGTACAAAATATGCAATTAAGGCTTGTACCCTTGGTTCCCTAGATTGTACTCTATGCTTCACAATGCAAAAGCCCTCTATTGCTCCAAAGCTACCACGTGGGAGAAAATAGATCTTTATTTGAAAATATTATTTTTTTGACTGAATAATAGTATGCGAAATGGTAAATTTTTTAAAATACTTCGTCTGTAATCGAGAGGTCACACGAATTGGGAAATCACTATTGATGGTCCTCTTTTTAAATAAAAAAAAAAGGTAATTTTTTATGCATAATTATTCTTTTCCTTTTTTTGGGTTCCCCTATTTTATAAAAGTCTGAATTTCCTTGTTAAAGTTTCTTCAATACCGAGAGGGTTGATAATAATATCTAAAATTTATAGTGGATCCACCTCCCTATTTTGCATGCTTAGGACACAAATTTAGAAAAATCTTTTTTTTTTAGTAATATGTGCAGCAACTTTGGATTGACACATTGCTTTACGTGGTGAATCAAGGAAAATATTATCATGCACGACACATACGACTAGATACAAATGAAACAACGTAAAATTGCTTCCTTGAGGTTTTTGAAGGTTTTTTTTCAATACAAAAATTTTGGATGACTCCGCCCAGAACCTTCCATGATCTTGCGCCCAAGTTCTTGCACAAGAGCATCAATAGCTTCAGAGTACTCGTGCATTATTTCCCTTCAACAAATCAAGAAAGTTAGTCCACCAAATACAACATACTTCAAAATTAATTGCAACCTCACATACATCGTATGTTAATAGTATATTATTATCGTTCTACATCATATTTTAAAAAGTGTGACAGTATTATTTTTCTAAAATGCTTCAAAAGAGTACTAAAGATCGCAATCCAAACAAAATGGTAAGTTTATGCGTCAATCCAAGAGTTTCTTAGGTCAAGTCCATTTTGCATGCCAATTCCAGAGTTTCTTAGGTTAACCTCTGTACATTTTCAAGTGTCTTCCGTATAAAACTCGTAAATTCCGCTACTAGATTCTCTTGAGGTTTTAATCATAGACTTGAAATTAATGATTTCTGCCAACTAAAGGTGGATATGGATTACCTTTGATGAGGAGAAGCATCAAGTTTATCACAGAATTGATCCACGGCCTCAGGTGTGAGCATGTCATACACTCCAAGGGCTTCATAGAATGAATTGATAGTGTTCCTAGGAATGTACCCCATCAAACGTTGAGGATAAACATTCCTTTTCTTGATTTCAAGAGGAAGATCGAAAAGGGAAAGCGATACTGCCTTCATATCAGACATCAAAGTTGAGGGAATCCCATGATCAAAGAGTCTGAAGCATCCCCACCTCCATAATGCTTTTACAACTTTGTCAAGCTGCCCTGATATTCCTTGCATATCAAGAACCGGAATACAAGAATTAACCATGTTGTTTCATCTCTACAAAGATCTCGATTCTGTTATGTTTGCTGCTATTGAAGTCTCCTTTCCCTTTATATCACAGGAATTCGTCGCATTTCAGTCGTACTTATTTGCCACCAACAGTGAAAGTTATGGTTAATTTAAGCTACTAGAATCAAATATGGAACTGCATTCTTTTTGTCCTTGTGCCTCATTATGTTGTGCGGGTCTCCAGTTCCGTAGTTGACCTTTAAAGGGAATCTGGGCTCTAGCCCCGGTTTAAGAGAAAAATTGAAAAATAATACCAAGAAAAAAGCATCAAGTTGAATCATGAATGGTTGCACATTGGTCTGACGTTAGATATTGCATTAGACCAGTTGCTTAATGAAGGTTAATTTGGATTTATGCCACTTGAGATGTGTTCATATCAGCTGTAATGGTGTAACCTGTCAACTGCAAGGGTCCAAATTATATGAAACATTTGTAATACAAGCTTACAAATCATGCAAGAGAAGCTATTTTTACTCTCACAATAACAGAAAATACTCTCTAATTGGGCAAACTTCAGTAGAATTAGGTGTCAAAATTTATCTTAATGTGTTCCTCTTCTTCATCACTATAAGTTGGGAGTTGAAAATCACAAGAGCTGATGCCCCGGAATGCTTGCAGATGAAAATAAATTACTTACGGCATAACACTAGACTGTCTAGAGTCCATGCCACAGTCCTGGAAAAATGTGATCTTGATTGGTTGTTATTGATGCCTTCCCTAGGCAGTTAATTACTGTATACATAGAATTAGGCAGATCCAATTACTGCTACACTTTTCATCCTATATGTTACTAAAATATCATTTTTACACCTTGACTTTCCAGTCAAAACAAGCTTTGCTACCTAAACAACTAAATCTGAAGCGGCAAGTGAAGAAAAGATAAAAGTTCAGCATTTCTAAGTATAACAATCATGAGGACCTGCAACAGCCAGCTTTTCTACCACCAGGATCTGAATCTTGGCCAGGAACAATGATCTTTGTTCCTTTCAAAGATGCTGACTTTTCATATTCAGAACCATCAGCTGCATTTAGTGTTTTCTTGCTTATGATGCGGTATATTTGGGTTAGGACTGTCATGAATGCACTTTCGACATTTGTGGATTCAAGTGCTGATGTCTCCATAAAGCATAAGTTCTCTCTTTCAGCAAACTCTTGAGCATCCTCAGTTGGTACAGCTCTAAGAGACCCCAAATCGCATTTGTTACCAATAAGCATTATAACAATATTTTTATCAGCATGGCCTCTGAGTTCCTCAAGCCATCTAGCCATGTGGTCAAATGATTGCCGTTTTGTCATGTCATAAACTAACATTGCACCAACTGCTCCACGATAGTAGGCACTTGTCACCGCTCGGTACCTGAAGGAGAAGAATGCAGGATAACAACAGGTTAGATGCCCAGAAAACCATTTAACTGCATTTTTTAAACAATATAAAACAAATCTTGGCTGAACAATGAGTCACTGAGAACATGCAAAAAATGACAGTCAAAGGTGTTCTTTTGGTCCAATCCTTAGTTCATTTACCTACAGCTAGGACCTTTAAAAAAATACTGTTAATGAGGTAAAATCACTTCTTAACTTTCTCTGAGAGACACAAACTATAAGTCAATATCCCATAGACTCCCCCTTATCATTGGTAAATCTCATATCAGCTTGTCAATGAAGGGTAAACTGGGCATGAAAGTAACCTTTTAACAAATAATATGGTATGCACATCCTTGTACAACTAATAACTTGAGATGCTTTTGAGTCATTTAGAAAATTCTCATCTTATTGATGCACTAATATGTGCAAAGATGGAACGTATGCTATCGTAAATTGTGATAGAAGCTTGCTTCGTCAGAACATAGGATTCAACAACTTCTATCCAGCCCCAACCCCTAGGGTAGAATGAAATCATTTCAGAGAAGTTCACTTTCTGAAGTTTCAGCCGACTATGCACCTGTTACATTTGAAGAGGATCCTCACATTGAGCATCGTGCAGAAAAGTTCTGGCATAAGTTCAACCACAAATGTCAATGATAATGAGAACTAATCTTGACAAATCCATGCATCTAAGGCAGAGTTTCAAGGTAAAATGAACCTTGTAATGCCCATACTTTAACTGATACAGTATTACACAGTTCCCTCGCACTGAGCAGGCCAACATAGGAACATTATGTTCACTCGTTACTCAGAACAGAGGTACTTTCTTTTGTCTTTAGTTTCAGGATCAGAGTACTAATTCATCATATAAAGCCAAGCAGAAGGGAAAAGGTTTGTAAGTTCAAAAAATTTATAGAGGCTCTTAGGAATCAAGTTCATTTGTTTCAACAGAAGCTGGAGATGATTGTGTAGCATTTTATAGGATAATCCCCCAACACAAGTTTATGAACAAATTATCTGTCTTAAAGTTGTCTTCTTATTTACACGATTAGAATGTCAATCAGTCAGCTGCTTTAAAAGCCGGCAAGACCTTCAAAGAGTAGTAGCATGATGACCATATGCATGACAGAAGATTTTAAAGCTTCAGATTTTACACATCAGAGATTATGGTTGCAGGCTTGCAGCACCTCAGACAACCATGTCAAATCCTTACCAATGTAGCATGAGCATTTTCTCTTCAAAATCTTGGTGAAATAAATTAATACTAGATCACAACTTGATGCTTCACATCCAATAAGAATTTCCAAATCCAAAAGTTGTTAGTCACCTAAACTCAGCGCTTTTCATGATGATAATGTTCTTGAATGTGGTTGATTTCTTGACTTAAGAATATCATTTATAATGATAGAAAGCCATTTGCAAGACACCAAGCTCTAAGCTGGAGCTTCTACTGACATTTTTAAAGGCTGTCACAATTCAGGGAAATGGACAACATTTTTATTAGTAATCTTTCATCATGTAATCCTAGTCTTGATCATAAGAAAACAAAATAACCCAATCCAACACCCTTAAGTGGATCACAGACAATAAAGGAAAAAGACAACCACAAGCCTATACAACATGCTGTTAGGCACACTAAATAATGTATAGGGTAAAACGTGGTTCAAGCACTAACCAAGCAGAAACATAAACTCACATGTTACAAGCACAAATAGTCTTCAAGAACCAGGCTGCTAAGTTTTGCTTCAAATGAAATCAACTGCTTCATACACATTAATTGGTAACTACCAAAATAAACTGCTTCATATCCGTAATAAAAAAGTGGAAAAACAAAGATATGTCAAATCGTTTGATTTGCAGGGAGAGAAGTAGCATCAAGCTAACTCAAAGGACCTCCATTGGTTCCCTTTAAGCTTACTCCTAATTGCCATGATCAACATTTCACTCTATAGACCGAAGCTTAAACAGACTAATATAATACTAATCAAAACCAATCATCTACATCTATTTACTAGCCCTTTTTAACAAGATCTGCTTGCAACCTATATATCAATATCGGTTGATCGGCAAGTAGACAACAATTGACTCCACATTTCATGAATAACTAAGCTACAGCAGGTGATTATGTTAAAGTAAAAGAAAATATTAATAAGATGCATGTTTGCCAAATAAAGATGAAAAGCCAAGACGTAAAACACACCTTTCTTGGCCAGCAGTGTCCCAAATCTGTGCCTTGACGGTCTTTTGATCAACAATCAGAGTCTTTGTTTGAAATTCAACACCAATAGTTGCCTTTGAATCCAAACTAAATTCATTTCTTGCAAAACGAGCTAGCAGTTGAGATTTCCCTACTGCAGAATCTCCAATCAATACAATCTTGAAAACATAATCAATCTTTTGATTAAAATCTCCATACAAGTTCGACATCATTAGGAATTCCTAATCCAAATCTTGGCAGCCTCTCCTCTTCAAGCACAACCCTTCAATGTCGTACAGATTTTACACAGAAATCACTATTACATGAACCAAAATTCGTCAGAAAAAGGAAAAGTGGCATTCATTAGATCGTTATAAAAAAAACCAATTTTATGACCCAAATGCTGATTTCTCGTGCACCCATACATTAGAGAAAAAGACAATAACCATTTCTGATTAGAGACATTATGTAACGTGGGTTGATCAAGGGAACCAACAGATTTTGGCTAATAGTATAAGCTCATCGAGTTGTCCGGATTTAAGAAAAAGAGGAAGAAATTTTCGACATGGGATTGTTCGAAGGTAGTTTTCTGGGAGCTGGACGAATGAGAAAACTTAGGAAGGACAACGGTTAGTGTGGGACCCAATCAACAGTTTCGTTGGAGCATTAGAAAAGAAGAAATTTTCTCATTATTGCACGTGTAGCTCTGGGGAACTTCTTTTGGTGCATTATTCTCAGAGCTGTGGTGCTGTGGGGTGATTGATCCATTTCGAGCCTGAAGGCGTGGTTCAGCAGCAAAGTTTTCTTGATCTGGCGCTGTTGGAAGCTGTCAGGCGATCACGCCTTCCGTTCACGTCAATATGTGATTTTATACCTGATTCCCTTCCTCGCAATTATTTCAACTGCCTTACAGGCTAAAGGCTATATATTCACCGGATCAGCTAGCATTTAAAGGCTTTTATACTCCCTCCCTCAAGTTTTGGCTTTTCGATTTTGCGTTTAGTTTTTTCAACATAGTAAACTCAGTCTCCCACTGTTGTTAAAAGCGTGAACCTAAAAGTGAAGGGGAAAAATATAGAGGGATTAAGAAGCGTAGACTCTGAAGCAGCCATAAGAAGCGAAAATTGTTATATGTAGTTCATTTTTTAAAAGAAATGAAGAAAATTTAGAAATCCGTTTAGAAGTAAGATCGGGAATCTTTCTAATTTCTAGTTGAACTTTTGTCCACTTCCATCTAGTCATATAATTCATACAACATTTGGTGTAGCATAATCGTGAAGTTTATTAAATTATACAAGAGCAAATTATCTGAATGGACACCAAATTTTTTGGAATTATCAAGTTTTGATCATTGAATTATTAAAAGTCTAGTTTTGACCACTGAACTATCTAAATTTTAGATTCTAGGCGATTCCATTGAATTTAATCGGTAAATTTGACAAATCCGAGTGCTTGCACGATTCACGAGATAGAAGAAAAAGACATATGGTCTGTTTGGATTGTGAATTATTAGAGATATTTTTACTGTAGCACTTTTTGTGATGTGATGTATGTGAGATAAAAAAGTAATTGGGAAGGTAAAAAGGTGTATTGGAAATTGTAATGATGATGTAAGCAAATAAATTTTGAGAAATAAAGCCCAATCCAAACAAACTCATAGTTAACAACTAAAATTGATGAAATGATCCGAAATCTAAATTTTAGATAGTCCAGTGGCCAAAATCAGACTTTTAATAGTTCAATGGCCAAAACTCGATGATTCCAAAAGTTCAATAGCCATCCGGATAATTTGCTTGTTATACAATTAATTTACAATTTATATTTTATCAACTCACACAACTAATTCGGTGGCCAAAAGTTGTATATTTTATCAACTCACACAGCTAAACTTTAAATAGTTTAATAGCCAAAATTAAACTTTTAATAGTTCAGTAGCCAAAACTCGACGATTCCAAAAGTTCAATGACCATCCAGATAATTTGCTTTTTGTACAATTAATTTACAATTTATATTTGATCAACTCACACAACTAATTCATGATTATATCAAAGTTGCATAAGTTTATGCCAAAAAATTATTTTAAAAAAATTGAGCCAAATCAACTGATGAAGCCGATCCCTATAAGTAAATAAGTAATGCAATAGGAGTGCCAAAAGCTTGTAGCAACAGGTTCCCTTTGCACAAGTTCATGAAAGAGTACCATCGTTGTCCCAAGTAGAAAGACAGTACATTTAAAAAGAAGGGACATTGATACAAGAATACGTAATTACTATTATATTCAATACTCATTTAAAAAGCATCCAATCGAATTATGGCACTTGACATTAAATTTTATACATTTTGTCCCTAACTTTTCACTAAAGTAAATGATCTAAGCATCCACATAACATTTTCTCAAATTTTTAACAAAAAAAAAAATCTCAAACATGATGGCACTAACAAGGAAATATTTTCTCAACGTACTAAATTTTTAAGGCAATTAAAGAAATCAATATTTTGGTTAAAGTGATAAATATCTATTTTTCAAGAATTAGGCAAGAAATTTATGTATAATAACTACATTTTTAATTGACTTTCAAATATAAATTATTTGATTTTTAAAAGTGCTACACATGCATAAAATGTAGTACCTTTTTACTTAAAGTTCCAAAGATGTTGTAAATCATATAGGCATTCACCTAAAAATAAATAGAATAAGGAAGGAAGAGAGCATTGCTATTTTCTGAAGTTTTTGTTAGAAAATATACCGTAATGATTCGATATATATGAGGTAAAAAATTTATTGAAATATGTGTCTACAGAAAACATAAACACTTCTCAAAGGAAAATGGCAATCCAAACAAAGCAAAGCATATATATGAACTTTTTTTTAATTTAATTTCCGCGGTCTAAAAGTGGAAGAACCCGGTCCATTGCAACTCCGGCAGACACTAACTGCTGTGGACCAAATTCTGCTTTCTTGAAACTTCCTCAGAAACCAAACCCCACATGACTGCACAACTAGCCATTTCTTCCTCTTCTGCGATAAAAATACAGATGAACCGTTGAGAAAGAAAATATCTTTCTATGGGTGACGATGACAACTTAAATAAGCAGAAGCAGAATAGGGAAGTAGATAAGGTTCCCATTATAGGAGGAACTGACACAAAATTCACCAGAAAGGACGTTGCAGCGTAACGAATCATGTGGGCTTTGGATTCCAGAGATATTTATTTGACCATTGCAGCAATCAACCAACAAGAAATCTAACATCTATATCTTGGTTGGCCTAAACATAGACAAAAGAAGAAGAATCTAACCTCCAACATAGGAATAATACTGGTGCTTAATCAGAGTGAGAATCTTCACATAGATTTGTTAATGAGAAACAAGATTATTACATTGAACAAGGATTGTAACTTTCACATGCCCTGTACAATTGATTTATACTTTTCTTCTTTTTTTTTCTCTAACCCAACTTTGCTGTAGGGAACCTTGGTTATACTAGTCTACAATACATCAGAATCTTAGAATTGAAAAATACTAGAAAATCACAGTAGTATCTGATACTCCTATCCTTGGTGCTTCAAAAGAAATTGAAAATTATTAGTTGATTGAACTGCTTCTCCATCTAGTCCCTTTGTAGTGTTTTTTACTGTACAGAAGCAATCAAACCATTTGATCTGGAACTGGCTTCTGCATGGCTGAGCATTTGCAATTTGCCCGAATATCGCTGAGTGTCTGCAGATAGATAAGATGGATGTCTCTAAAGTGTAGCATTGATGAATAGGAATATTTGGTTTAGTACAGTATATTAGCATAATACTAGGTTCTATCCCTTGATACCTTGTACTGTTTTTGGAGATCTTTAATGTAGTCGACAGCCAAATCTAACATGTCAGCTGTGCTGGTTTGCTGCCAACAAGATATACCACAACTTTTATTTCTGCAACCAAATAGTGCTTGGAGACTATTGGATGAGGCGTACAAAATCTTACCTTGTCCATGTTTGGAACAAGATCCTGCAATTTCCTCATCCTTTCACTGATCCGGGTTCTTCTTACCTGAAAAAACAGTAGTATTTTTTTTAATTCATGCTTTAATCACATTATCCGATCAAAGGTATCTTAAACTTCTTGTGTGGTCTTGTGGGTTGTGGCACACGTACTAAAGAATAACTGAAAAGAACCCAAAAAAAAAAAAAGAACTTTTGTTGCAGGATTAGGTTCAAGACAGTCCAAAAAAACAGTTTTTGAAAGTGAAGATAAGATCAAAACCGAAATCAAATATGAGAACAAATTACCCTCTCTGCTATACTTCGTGGATGAGTAGCACAACCTCGTTTGGCACGGATTTTGCAAGGAACTGTGTCCTGGAATTGCATTAACTTGTCCATAGCAGCAAGTTCAGCTGTATTTGGTAAACTTAAGTGGTGGGACAAAATATTAGGCCGATTTCTAGGCTCTCCACCCTGGTTGCAGGCAAAAGTTCTAATACAAATCAAAACTATCGATGAAATATCACATTCAATGCACAACACAACAGAAATTGTTACCTGACTATCAGGAAATAAGTTCTGATCAGAGTCAATTTCTCTCTTAAGGCCGGTTAAGTTCTCAGCGAATTTTGGTGAACTGTTCCAAGATCCAAAACCGAAGCCAGAGCCATACAATTGAGTATCCCCATTGGTATTTCCTAGTTTGTCATCATTAGAGCCGTCAGCACCACCAGTCTCGTTCTCAACTTCTGATATTCTAGACAACATCCCTAACGTCGTTGGACTCCCGGATGAGAAGCTCATCGGTCCCTTGAACCTATTTGAAGATGGACTCAAATCTCCACTAGCTCCATTTGTCAGTCTATAATTTCCAACACCTCTCATTGTGGAATAGCCTGCATATTGCTGATAAAATTAAAGTAGCTTGTTTTAGGAGTACAAAAATTCATTAAAGAAGCAGCAAGACGAAAACAGTAGCACTGAGATCACACAGTAGTAATTTTTATGAGGTGAAGCTCAATATGCCACCTTCCCCTTCAACTTCATTTTATTCAACCTGGTTCCCCTCATCATTTATTTGACAACTAATCAGGAAACTGAGTGATAGATATTGATCAATCTTTCACCAATATTTTGATGAGCATTAACTTGAGATTTTGGTGTCAAGGTACAATCATTAGCTGCAAACAATAGTAAGGGGGCTTGATAAATTTCATGAAAATTCCTTGAAGAAGAGGAAAAAGCCAAAGAAAAAGCGAAAACATCATCCAAACTAAAAACTGAAACACGGACAACTAGAAAGGCCTGCTGGAATTGCCAATAAATCCCACAGAAAAGGCCTCATGAACTTATTTCACATCCATGAACTTTTTGTTAAACAAATCATTTATGTCAGATAAATCCAAGAATTCAACATATAAGCATTACCAGATTGAGCAGTGAGGTGTGAGAACAATTCAGCAGGTGAACTATTTTGCCTAGTAAGAGTAGGACTCATTTTGGGCTGCCTTTGATGATCCATTGCCATTGAACCTGGAACTCTATACACTCCATTTACAGAGCCCAGTTGAGCAAGTCTTCCTCTTGATGCCCGCGGATACTGAGGTGGTAATTGTGATTTCAGAGTGTAACCTTTAGTACTACTACTATGAGAGACTTGAT